ATACCCTTGGTCTAAGTTGATGTGGGTCCTACTATTTTTACTGAGAAATGTGAAGCACCTGCTTATAACTATTCCTTCAAACCACTACATCACATTTGCTCTCAATTTCCTTAGAAGCACATTGTTATTAACTTTGGTCAAGTTGCATCACCTTCATAGGGTATATCTACACTATGGAAATATTTCCACTGCCCTAGCTCAATGCTATTGCTACCTGGGATTTGTAGTTTGGTGAGGCACCAGCCCTGTTTGGCAGAGAAGGATAAAGATCGTGTAAAGCTACAACTTCTAGGATTCCACAGCCCTGAGCCATGGCAGTTGAAGTGTTGTCAAGATGCATTATTTCTACAGATATATCCATAGTGACTGAGCAATGGGGGATTTCCAGCTGCCAAACTCAAGGGCTCTCTGCAACATCCTGAAGCACATCACTCAAGCACCACACACTCCTCCATTGCTTGGAATTTAAGGTGTGAGTTGGAAAGTATTTATGATCATAGCAATATGACTATAATTGTGAATACAGAGCATAGCTGCATACAGGGCAGTTACAGATCCATAACTCTACATTACAAATCCATAACGGCATTGCAGGACACCAGCCTTTATTTATGGCCCGTGTTTTCCCTGTAACTGATTCAAAGCAGTTGATAAGAAAAGATGAGAGATGCAGTATCTGAACTACTACAAGTTGCCCAACTCCGGGTTGTCTGCATGCAATATGTGTACTTTTAGCAAAATGTTAAATCACTACATGTTAATTGGAGAAACTATTCTTCAAGCCCAGAATAAATCTTTTTTTAAATAAATAAATAAATAACATAGCACAACAGTGGCTCTATTTCCATTAATTTATCTACATGGCAGTGTCAGAAGACTGTTCAGCTTGGTGGTTCTTGGAAACCTCTATGTGTTCCTTTTGTTGAGACAAACAGGGATTTTCTGTTGGAAATAGCATCCTTCCAAGCCTCCACTAACAGTTTGTAAGCGTGTATAATTGTTAACTTACATTGTATGTACATTTTTGTTTTCCAGTTTGATTATACCTCTTGGTGTGGGAGGGGCTTCAGACAAAAGACTCAATTTTTGTTATATAGTATGCTCTTAGATCTCAATGGAGGTGGATTGCAGTTTGTCTCCTTTCAGACTCCATTGAGTACAATTATACAGTTTGGACTATATCTATATGCTTAAAGACATTGGACACTAGTATGCTGAATATATACAAGAAGTTTGTTAATAAACCTGAGATGTTATTTTTTTAAAAGAAGACTACTTTGTTTTTTATCTTGAATGCATATTTTGACTAAGAGGTTTTAAGGGAGTGTATATCTTTTGGGCAATTACAACCGCAAATTGTACTTCAAAGAAACAACCATCCTCTGCTAACCAAATATATATTTTGTGGTGGTATGTCTTTATCCTTAGCATTTTAAAGACATGGTTCTTCAGTTTAACAGCTGAGTTACCTGTGTGTAATGCTTATGAATATCACTTGTTCAATGGGCTGATTTCTACCAAGGTCATGCTTTTCTTGACTAGTGGTTTTCAAAAGGTGGTCTCCACATGTTAATAGAGATTCTCATTTGTCAAATGGACGTGACATCATTTTTACCCTTTCAATAAGGTTATGATGCAGTTAATTCCAATAGATTAAGGAATTTCCAATATTTTCTTCAAGTAAATGAATGTTTGTATGCACGCAGAGATGCTGACACCTGGGAAATCTTACTAGATTAGTGTATTTGCATTTTTAAAATTCAGAATGTTAATTATGAACTTAGGTCAATTCATCAGGAAGTTGCCTATTTCAGCCTGTCACACAAACAGCCTTCACTGTATAGTCTGTGCCTAGCTCTGCATGAGACTGGTCTCAGTTTAAAATGCTTATTGCTTGCCCTGGCTCCTCTGCTAAGCAGATTTCAGTGAGCCCTTTCCCCCTTGATTCACAGTGATATGTCAAAGGTACTACTGCTACTGATTTGCACACACTAGAAGGCTGTATGAAAAAAATAACATCAATTTCATGGTACAAGATTTAGTTAAACAGCTAAGAGCAGTAATTGCCTGCAATTTTTCAAGGAAGAAAACAAGCCTACAAATATCAGGCATTGCTTAGGTCTAGTCCTCCATGCAGAGCTTTATTTCTATTCATGAATAATAGATAAAGCTTCTTGTGTCTCATTGCAAAGGAAAAGATGAGCATTATGCAAATACAATGTCTCAAAACGGTCTCCTGTCAAACACATGCAGTTTTCTGCTTCTATGTTTTAATGTAATTGACAAAATACTGGATAGTACTGATTATGCCTTTCCTTGTAAACAACTTGTTTCATTCCCAGAAACAGCTGTGTTTACGCTTCTATAAAATTCTAACTTCATTACAAAGTTGTCATCACACTATGAAAGAGCTCCTAATTCTAATTCCTGCAAATGTAGGTCCACTTATGAAGACACAAGCCCCAAAAAGGATTTTGGCCAATATTAATAAAAGTACAAGGAATATTGTAATTATTAATAAGGGGGGAAATTGTTCGGAAGCTTTAGACATTGCAGTATTGAGCAGTGGACAATATTGATCCCTGGGAGGTGCTGGCAAGTTACTAGGCGGGGGGGGGGGGGGCAGCAGACAGGAATAGTAGTCTGGGGTGCAGTTGAGGAACACTGAATAAAAATATGTAACTATTAATAGAAACATAATGGAAACATAGAGAAAGAGAAAAAAATTGGGGGGGGGAACATTCTTACATGTTTCATCTGTTGTTTGTGTAACATACCGTTAAAGTCATAGTGGTTACTTAATTTTCCAAATTAAGTAACCACTATTACAATTGCATTTTGTGAACACACAAAATGCAATTGTAAACAATCATTAGTCAAGTCCAGCAAGAGGTTTCAACAAGCAAGTGTTGGCAGGTGAGCGTGTTGTGCGTTGTCAAGAAGTCTAGCATGCATCAGAAGGACTATGTGCATGTAATGACTTGTTTACAATATGATACTACAAAAAGGCGACTTGTATGAAATCTAATATAGATTTTTTTCTGAACTGTGTGACAGTCATCAAGAGCAGGGGGTCCATTCTGCTGGCTATTGGAGTGTGGGGAGAAGACATTTCTACCCCTACACCCAAAGGAAGGTCTGTGACATGGAAGTGCAACAGGATTCAAAGCTTCTGATTGTCACAACTTCAACTTGTGGTGGGAGGTAAATGGAAATGGCATCCACCCGTGTCCTGATCACAAACTGAATGGGCCTCCTTCTCTCAATGTAGCCGATAAATAGGTCAGGGAATCAATTACAATTGTGACAATGAAGCCATGTGTAGGGGTTCAGCCTGTGATTGTCTCTTTGCCACAGGACTCAATGGAGAATGATTATGACCCTTCAGAGGTTCCCATGTCTGACTTAAATGATTAAGTTTCTGATGATTCCCAGAGTGAAACTGAAGATTCTGGGATTGTTGGTTCACAAGGCAAAGATGTCTCAAGGCAGCCTGAGACAAAGGCCAAGGTCAAACAGTCTAAGTTAGATAAAGATAGCGAAAGGAATTTACTAATGAGCAAACCGGAGGAGGCAATCTTTGATCACAAAGGCCAAATCTATCAGGTTCGCCACCTGGATTTTAGGGAAGAGGCGCTCAGCAAGAGGAGTCAGGGAGAGGTGTCCCAAGGGAAACTGAATGCTTTTCCTATGGCTTTTTGAATAAATATAGGGCCTGTGAATCTATACTTTTCAGTGAGTCCAACTTCTGGTTTTCATGCCTGCTCCATGCCTTCTTGTTAATACTGAGACTCATGTAGAATCTTGCCTTGTATTCATGTTCATGCTGAGATTTTTGTAAGTTGTTTGTCCTGATTTTAAGCTCCTGCTTGTGGATTGTTTGGTTCAATTTTGCTCCTGTTTCTCCAAGGGACTTTGATCTTTGGAACCTTTTGGAAATGAAAGACTGTTTTCCTCTAGTCTTGTTTATTGGATTTTGAGACTATTCTGTTTCTTGACTTGGATTTTGCCTGGATATCATTACATTGCTCTATGGATTATTTTATGGACATTTCCTTATTTCCTATTTGAATGCTTTTTACCTTTTCAACTATTACTATATTAATCTTCAATGAACTGCTTTGCTTATTAAAGAACATTGGTGTGTTTGCGGGTTCAAAGGTGCCAATCACAACCTTGGTGTGTGACACCATGATTGTGACTATTTAAGAATCATCAATATGGATCAATTATGAATACATAATTGATCTAGCAGGTTATATATTTGTAAGTGTGATGTCAAATTCTAGCCCAAGTTTCCTAATAATTTCCATATATAGTATGTCTCTGGCAAAATATAGTCCAACTCTCATATCCATGGAACTGATAAATGCATCTTAATTTATTCACAGTTTCACTTATTTACTTCAGGCCTCCTATAAAAGCAACATCTTCTTCTCGGTATGTCCTTTATCCATCTTAATGAAAATAATAGGGTTCACTATAGCCTGAAGTTTAGCATATCCAAAGTCCAGAAACATGTATCCTGTGAATATGGGAGTTGTATTGTAGTTATGATGTTATATATATTGGATTAGGGCTAGTGCTAATGTTAAGAGAAACACTGTTTCTCTTCTTCATCATAAATAATTTTCTTTGCACACTGTTTCTTAACTGACCATGGCCACTGGGATGCTGAGGACATCTTATATTTTTAGAAAAATCTTCCAGAATCGCTCAAATTACAAAATCAAGAAAACCATATTTTTATTAATAAAAGTAGGATTAAGGATATCTCCTTCCAGTGCTCTCGTAACTGTATATCAATACATAATATTAAGTAGATCTGGGGCCTATGTAAGTACTGTCAATCCATACCTACACACAGTAGGGTGACAGAGTTCTTTTTCAGGGAATGGGAGAATTGACAGAATGCCCACTTTCAAACATCACTTGTGTAGTTTTTAGGGTTACCTGTCAGTAATTTTGAAGGAAGTCAGGTTATCAAAAATGTCAGGACATATTTTACAGTTTTTTAATGCTCAACACTGGGCCATTCGCAGAAATTATTTTGTGCCTCGCCACCTGCCAGCTCACCAAGTAACTACTGAATCCGATGTTTTTTCCACAAATCCCAGTCTATTGTTGGAACTTGATCTCTTATTCACAGGTTCCAGTTTACTGATGAATTTCCTCCCTTCTTCTTTTTAGCCACACTTATATCCGAATTCTTTAAATCTTCACTTCCTAGGGAGTTGGGGGAGAAAGTTGTTATATTCAAGATATTTTTGTAAACTGGCATTCTTTAAACAATCAAATATTAAACAGGCCATGTCTTAATTCTTGTAATAATGATGTTTCTGCTATACTGCATACAAAAAAACAACAAAATAGTTATTTTAGGCATTGCTTCTCTATTAACTAAAGCTCAAGTGTTTTCCTAACTGAAGATACTTTCTAAACAGGCAGCAAATTTAAGTGAAAAGACTGCATCGCAGATGACCAAAAGGTAGAAGGCGAGACTATTATGATCAATAAGCAGTAGCAATAATTTAGATAAACATTATCGCCCTCTTATTTATTATTATTATTTCAAACATTGATATCCTGTCCTTCTCACTCTGGAGAAAACGATACAGATATACTGATTTGGTATCTTTTTATAAACAGTGATCATTATATAGCCAAATTTTCAAAGGTCTTTTTGCAGAGTCTCCAAAGAATCCTAAGGAAAGACAATAGAAATAATATACGGGGGATAAACTCTCTGTAGAATAAAAGAAAGTCTCAAGAAGCAGAGAGAAAAGAAATAAAGACAATTTTCACAGTGAAGAAAAATATTGAAGTATTTTGACTCCATCTATCCCATCCCGAAAAAGCCTTCTTGAGGGTGTAACTGAGCTGAATGTATTTCATACCTAAATAAGCACTGATTTCCACAAGCTTCCATAACAAGCCAATGGACTTGCTAAACTTGCAAAATAACATAGAATCAGGAGTAAAATTTGGCACCCATTTTCACTCTGGTAAGAACTACAATCCTATACACAATATGAACAAACCAGGAAATAAATTCCAATGAATGTAGTGAGATAGTCACAGGATTGCCCCGTAAATAGACATTGTGGTAGAGCTCTAATATTATGCAATATCATGGCTGAAAAACAGCCATCTTGCTAATGAAGGTGTCCATCAGCTTAATGATGAACACCAGAGCGGGAAATTATTAGATTCTCTCAATTTTTTTCAAAGACTTTGTCAAAACAAATCTTTCCTGAATGCTTCTTGCACAAGATTTTGCAAAACGTGTGTGTGGGGGAGGGGGGAGTAATATAAGAATCAGCTACAATATGTGGACAAAACATTCCAGAAGCATTCTCTCCTGATATTTCGGCCACATCTTGTAGGCATCTTCAGAGGTTGAGGAGTCTGTAGGAAACTAGGCAAGTGAGGTTTATATATCTGTGGAATGTTTAGGGTGCGTGAAAGAACTCTTGTCTGCCTGAAGCAAGTGTGAATGTCGCAAATGGCAACCTTGATTAGCCGAACACTTGCTTCAGGCAGACAAGAGTTCTTTCTCACATCCAGAACATTCCACAGATATACGTATAATCCTCACTTGCCTAGTTTCAAATAGATCCCTCAATCACTGAGGATGCCTGCCATAGATGTGGGAAAAATGTCAGAAGAGAATGCTTCTGTAACATGGCCATACAGCCCAGAAATCTCACAACAACCCAATCGCTAAAGGGCTTCAAGATCCCAGAAACATTTGGATATATAGCAGAAGGGAAGTGTGCCAAAATATGGTTTAGCTGCTTGGCATACAGATTTCAGCCATACATTTCAGTGAATCGGATTCCACTATAAGATATGAAACAGCACACTGTCAGGTTTTGTTGCTGTAGCTTCTATTGAAGCTTTAAAACACACTGAATCTTTTTAAGGCTTTTATATGCCACATTTTGCAGTAGATTATTTAAAAATAAATTAATTACATAATTATTAGCAAGAGCAAATTAAAGCAATCATTACCAGAGTCCCGCACTATGGATGAACTTGAGCCCTTCTTCACTGAAAAGGCCAGGAAATGTTAGGAAAAAAACAGTAAACAAAACAGAAAATTATACAAAAGACATTATACAAAACTGGTATACTGTTCAATTTATGTCAAATAAGGTTGAAAATATTCCTGCAGGTGAATATAAAGGGGAAAGTAGGATATTGGAGTAAAAACCTACAGATTATTACTACAGATTATTAAAAGCACGAGAAAAACTACAGATTATTAAAAGCACGAGAAAAATCACAGGGTTTTTGAAAACAATAAACCCAGTTTTAAAACAGTATATTTCACGATGGCAATGTATTACAATTACACACAGAGTTACAAATGGTTTAACAAGTTATCAATTTATTAAGTTTCTCGTATATTTTGAGCCAGAAACAAATCTAAGAATACGCCCACAAATGTCTCATTAGGTCTTATGCTGCGGGGCTCATAGCTGGTTGTGCTCTGGGAGAGGCATTTATCATTTGAAACTCTATGCCCCATCTTTCAAGCAGTATGGATTTCATTCATGAGCGGTTCATGGTCGTAGAGATACAGTGATTTTAAATTGGGTCCATCTTTTTGAAACACCTTGTAAAACAATTTTCTATATTTGGCTAAATATTATAAAAAGCAATAGGGGTAGTACAAAAAATAATAACAACAAATTGAAACAGTAATTACCAGATTCTCGTACTACTGATGAACTTGAGCCTTTCTGTACTGAGGAATCTAGAAAATGTCAGGATATATTAGAAAAACAACAAACAAACAAAATAGTACATAGAATAATACAGTTGGAAGAGACCATCATGGCCCATCTAGTCCAACCCCCTGCCATGCAGGAAAAGCACAACCAACAAAACCCAACAGATGGCCATCCAGCCTCTGTTTAAAAGCCTCCCCCTTCACATGGCTCAACTCATACTTTCATTTCCTGGCCTTTGTACGGTGTGCAAAAAAATCGTTCTCATTACTTTTGGGACAGACCACATATAGCAGTCACAAGTGCATTACACATTAATATATACATATACATTCATATACAGTATGCATACAGGATTCTGACCACAGGAATACATTATGCTAAGGTATAATAGTTAGCAGCAAATTAAAACCTTAATTACCAGATTCCTGGACTACTGATGAACTTGAATCTCTCTTTGCTGAGAATGTAAAGTAATGAGGAAAAAGTGTGTTATTAAAGGGGGGAAATTCGTAATAAATATGAATTTAAATACACGTACACAGTTTTGCATGTTAAGTTTCATTGCAGTTTTCAAAAGCAAAACAAAAATATAGCAGTTAAATTGCACCAAATGAAAACAATAATTACCAGATTCCTTCACTACTGATGAACTTGAATTTTTCTTCCCTGAAAACATCAAATAATATGAAGTCAAGGCATTGAATTAAAGAAGGAAGGAAGGTTCATAAGTTTGTATTTAAATATGTGTATCTGCTCCATGTTGCTTTTTAAAGAGCACACCAACAGTATCTCAATTAACAAAGTAAAATAAAACAATAATTACCTGAATCCTGAGTAGCTGGTGAAACTGAGCTTTTCTTCCCTATGACTGTCACACAATGATAGGATATAATAAAGCAATAGCAAACAAAACAGAATCAATAAAACATTATATAAATCTGGAACACATACATCTTTAACTCAAGACTCTTTCATATTACACAGTTATGGTGTTATGATCCCATGTTATTTGCTTAGGCTAAACCCAGAAATGTGGAATTCCTCAATTCTAATTTTTTTTTAAAAAAAATCCTTAGCTTTCTATCATACAGAATTTGGGAACACACGTAATGGGCTATAGCCTCTGATTTCTTACCTGAAGCTGCTGGTTACTACACTTTGAAACAGATACTCTATACAACAACAACAACAACAACATTATTACCAGATCCCTGTCTTGAGCCCTCATTCATCAAGGACACCAGTCCAGTATTCAGACACAATAAAAAGGCAAACATGAGAGTTAAGAAAGAAATAGCAAAAAATATCTTAATCCTAGAACTAAATAAACATGCTATAGGCTCATTTTCCTCCTTATTTACCAAGAAAGCATTGGGGAATGGCTTGGTGTTATTGTATAACTGTATGTTATTGGACTTCATTGTTGTTTCATGTCATTTTCAACTTACAGCAAACTTATCATAATAAAGGGATTGCCCCTTGTTTTCCTCTGAGTCTGAGAAGGTGTGACTTATCCAAGGTCACCTGATGGGTTTCCATGACTGAGTGGGGATTCGAACATTGGTCTCTAGACCCATAAGCCAATGCTCAAACCATTATACCATACTGGTTCTCCTTCACATAGTCTACCCAAAAATGTAAGTCTCCAAGGGCTCATCAACACTGACCACTTTGGCCAGTTTAGAACTGGTTTGGCAGAAACTGGTTTTGATGCGCCAATGATTAGATGGACATTTCTAGCACAGTTTTGAGATCAGAATGATGACTACACAAACACGAAAGCTGGCCTAGAACTGGTTTTAGAATCTGAATTACCTATCAGATAATTCATGCTGAAATACAATTTTGCAGTGTTTATTTTGTAGCCACTGCAGTTTGAAGTGGCGTAGATGAGACCTTGGAAGCTTATGTCTTTGGGAAAGTGTAGCAACCAGTAGCACTACAACAATACCTTTGGCCACACCTACGCTGATCATGGTTTCTTAGGAGCCTTCTGCATTACTGCTTTTTAAAGCAGGATACATGCAATCAGAATGGGCAGTAGTTTTGATGCTGGACAACGACTAGACAGATCAGAGTTTTAATCCCTGTTTCGCCATGGAAACCCACTTGTGGTCTTAGGCCACATCATAACCTCTCAACCTCAGAAGATGGCAATAGCAAACTCCTCTGAATAAATCTTGCCAAGATAGGTTCGCCTTTGGGTCACCATAAATCAGACATTGCTTGAACCCTATGTATGTCCTAAACAAAGAATCCTGTTTTCTAATGCTATGCATGGTAATTCACATGCTGAATGTACAGCTACAGGCCAGGCAAGTCCAAGCCATCCCATCCTATATATGTCTGGCTACTTCCTAAAATGTCAGCTCATGGATGATGCAGGAGAAAACTGATTACCGGATCCTGCCGAGAAAGATGAGTCTCTCTTCACTGAAGACCCCAGTCCAGTATTCAGGCACAGGAAAAGAGATAAATTTTAGAACTTGTTAGGAAAATAATAGCAAATAAAACAGAAGATGACAAGAAGGTTTTATATGTATTGACATCTGATTAATATTTTTGGCAGGCTGAGAGCACTACTATAGATTGATATTTAAGTTATTTTGGTTTAAATATCATTCATATTTCCTTCTAATTTTTATATCCCACTTTGTATTACAGCAAGTCCTCCATCTCTATGGATTCTGCATCCACAAATTTAAAATATTCTCTGGCAAAAGATCCAAAAATGATCCTTGATTTTTCCATTTTATATAAGGGTCACACTTTTACTATGCCATTGTATATAATGGAACTTGATCATTCATGGATTTTGGTATCCATGATGAGTCCTGGAAACAAACCTCAGTGGATACCAAGGGTTCACTGTATTAGGTCTCTGGCCAGCTTACAACAAAAGTCTATTCAAACAGTTTAAAATTAAAAATAGCAATCTAAAAGTTATTTTTTAAAAAAACATCTGGAATCATATATGACCCATTATGTTACGTTACCTAGCTATATAACAGAGGCACTAAAAAGTGCTTTTACTGAAGATACATACAAAACCAAACACTAGCAAGAGTGCCTGATGTACATTGGTGCCTGATGTACCTGACTGATGTGATTCACATGGATTCCACTTTGCAGGCTTTGTGACATAGTAATGTAAAAACCTCTGTTCTCTCCCCCCCCCCCCCCCCCCCCCCCCCGCTGTCCTCATTTTACTGGGAACAGAGTTGACATGCTCAGAGGAACAGTTGATAAAGACTTTAATAAAACAATAGAAAGGTTCAAATCTCAACTCCTCCTGATCAAGCTGGCAAAAGTCTCTTAAAAGGTTGGGGGTTTAATGTAACAGTGATCTTTGCCTACTTGTATGGTGTCTTTTCTTCTTTGTTCTCTGTGTCTTCAACAAAGCCACTTTGCTTACAGAACCAAATTTTAACTGTTTAATTTCTATTGATCAACCATTGCCTATCAACCCTGAGATAGAATATTTTTAGCATCTTCACTCCTCTGGGACCTCCTGGTCTAATGGCTCACTTCCAGAGATGCAGTTGAGTCTAGCTGAGAGGCTTCACCCCTGGGGAATATTCTGAAAGGGGGAGAAGGGGATATCTGGAAGGGCCTATCCCTGCCATAGTGGTTATTTACAATATGCAGGCTGACCTCTCCTAACTAAGGAGGAAAACAGAGGAGGTTTCTGTGAGGGCATGACAACATCCCTTTTCTGGATATGATACTACACAATTGCACAATTCTAATTTCCACATATTTACACCCTATTATTATTATTATTATTATTATTATTTGCATGCTGCTTTTTCTCTTAACGGAGACTCAAAGCTCTAACTAAAACAATGCCATAAACAATATAAAACCAAAAAACTTTAAACATTAGCAAAGAATGAAACAAAACACTATTTAAACATAAAGAGTTAAAATAATTAAAAATGTACACAAAACACCCCAATTTACTTCATTACTCAGTCTTAAAAACTTACTTCTTTAAAAGCCTTTAAACGCCTCATACGTATGTCTACTTATGGAGCTATATGAGAGTTACATCTTCATAAGTGAATGTGTACATGTGGAAATTAGAACTGTGTAATTGTGTGAGGTCCATATTCAAAAAAGGGCTGCTGTTACATCTACTAAACCTCTTGTCCTTCCAAAAGAGCCGGCCAGATTTTAATCGCCTCGCCCACTCGCCCATTGATCTCTTCTTCACCAACTCCTCTTCCTCTCTATCCTCTCCTCTCAGTCTACCATCCTTCCAAAAGAATGAATTCCTTTACAGCCCATTGATCTCCCTGCATTTCTTCTCTTCTTCCAGTCCTCTGCCATTCTTACCATTAATAATTGTGCCTGCCTCCATGCATGCCCTTGTGTATGCTTGCCTCCTCAATAACGTAGTGTTGTCAGAATATTCTGAATAGCCATGCTTAAATGATTTCACTGGGCCTTGTTCTTTTGGTCCCACTGTTAATTCAGGAATATGAAGAGAAGTTTTGTGAATGAAAGTACTTACAAACACTTATGTGTCATAAAATGCACTGTTAAATCAAAATTAGAACATATATAACCCTACAGCATGCAATTTATGATCAGTATAAACTACTAAAACAGTAATCTCTTTTAGAATACAAATAATAGGTATTTTGTCTTATAGTCCTTATTAGTCACAGCCAACACGGCTAATGTTGAAGGATGATGGGAGTTGCGGATTAAAATATCTGTTGGTCAACAGGATGACAAGAGACTGAATTAGTCTATTGTCTATAAAACATACAGCTATAAGCATTCTCCAAAATTGGTTTTCCTTGTAGCCTTTCGGTCTGGAAGTTGTGGAGATGCAGCGTTCAGAGAGAAAAAAATGAGTATAATGTGAAATGCACTATTTTGTATGAATCGTTTCTTTATTAGGTACAAAGATCCAGTCAATTACACAAGTATGCCAAAAAGACAAATATATTTCTAAGCATTATAAAGGGATGTTTAAATTCCTTCACTGCAAGTTTTTTTGCAGTCATCCTACAGTGAAACCAAAGAAGGAACCTGGTTTAATTTTTAATTGAATGTTTGCCATTGTTATGTTGGAATCCGCGGAGACCCTTCAGGGAGATAGGGGGAATACAAATAAAGTTTTTTCTATTATTATTATTATTTGAATCTCTAAAATAAAGCTGTGATTTACCTAGTGCATTTGACATGTCCAGAGGCACTTTTCACCTATCATTTCTGCCAGTTTTGCAACAATGCTATAAGAAGGCCAATATTATTATTCCCATGTTAAAGATAGCAAGTAGAGTTGAGGTTAAGAGACCAGCAACTTGCCTTTAAGCTGCACATACAATATTTATGCAACATGTAAGCTACAGAAAGGTGCAACTGTCCTAGCATCCATGCCCTCCCACCCCTGCCATTGCATGTGTAACCTCCCAATTGCCTCCTTAAGGTCATATCTGCAACAGAAAGTATGCCATAACAGAACTCATTGTGGTATGTATGTATTGCCCCTTTCTTGCACCTAGGCAACTCATAATAATAGGCTTCATGTCAAACATTATGCTAAAGGAGACGGAAAAAGTCATTATTTCACTAAATTTGTTTACTTATTTATTTATTTACGACATTTACATGCTGCCCTTCTCATCCCGAAGAGGACTCAGAGTGGCTTACAGTACACACATACACATACAATATTAAAGTGCCATGATTTCTCAAATGTCTAGTGACAAAAGGAAATTAAACCCAATAGATTTGTTCAACAAAGTCATTTTTGAAACTAACTATTCACATTGTTGAGATCTCATTTTTCCTCCAAGAGTAGGGCTGAAAGTAGAGCCTGACAGGAGGCAACCAAGCTATATGAATTATTTCCTTATGACAACATTCTTAGAGTGAAAGGTAACTTAAATAACGGTAAAGGTTTCCCCTGACATTAAATCTAGTAATGTTCAACTCTGGGGGTGGGGTGTGCTCATCTCCATTTCTAAGTCAAAGAACCGGTATTGTCCATAGACACCTCCTAGGTCATGTGGCCAGCATGACTGCATGGAGTACCATTACCTGCCCGCTGGAGCAGTTCCTATTGATCTACTCACATTTACATGTTTTTGAACTGCTAGGTTGGCAGAAGCTGAGCCTAACAGTGCTCCCCGGATTTGAACCGCCAACCTTTTGGTCATCAAGTTCAGCAGCTCAGTGGTTTAACCACTGCGCCACCAGAGGGTCAGAGGTAACGTAAGTAAAATGCAAATGTTCCCCAGAATGAATTAGAACAGGATGCCAAAAGCCAAATGGCACATAATATACTAGTCTTTAAAACAGATGAGGAATAAGAAAAAATTGAACCCTTCAGCTATCCAATATATAGCCAGTGACCACAAACACTTGCTGAAATAGATCTATTTTGTTCTTTAGTCCTCTTTTAATCTAATTTAATGAAGCTTATTTACTGGAAATCCAGTTCCTTTTAATGAAACTTCTTTAAACAATTTCATTGTATAGATTCCAGTCAACCAAGTTCCAGGCATGAATCAGAGTAAAGCCAGAGCTTGTGAATAATTAATGTCAATACAATTGTTTGTTATAATGGTTTAAAATATTATTTATTGGACAATGATGACTAGCCTAAATAAATAAATAAATAAATTGAATAACCATACATCATATTATTTTTATTCAATTACTTTGGGGTAATTTGGCTGTTTCTAATAATTTTGGTTGATTTGTTTGTTTGTTTGTTTTAAAAAAAATACAGTCTCATTTATTAGCAATTTAGGCAGAAAGTAATTTTATAATTTTCCCATAAACAAAGGGGGTTAATGTTAATGGTGACTCTTCAAATTATCGTAGATGTTAATGTTTTAGTTTTAACAGTGGTAACGTTTCCACACTTTTGAAGAAACATCCTTTGAGGCAACACTATGGCAGAAAGACAAGATGGAGAGAGAAATTGGTGTCCAAGTAATACAGCATTTATCGTGTTTGAAAGATGGGATAGAGCTAAGAGACAAAAGGGAAACATTTTGATTCTACCTCAGGCAACTTGACACAGACTGCCTAAGAAAGAAATAATTGTTACTATTGGGCATAATACAACAATAGCAACAATATTGGAAAACATGCCTTCATTTACTTAAACATTTAATATACGAAGCATATTTATATAATCAATGTATAATTTCTTTAAGACACATTAACTGGGGAAAGAACACATAGAAGAAATGGAAGTACTTGTAGTAGAAAACATTGATTTGTTCTTACAATTGGGCACAAATGCAGCTCCAGCAAAGAGGTTGATTTCTGTTATGGTGTGAAAAGCATTCAGAGACCACAGGAATCTACAATCACCAGAAGACAAAGAATATCACTTTCTTAACATTTATGCAAAACTTTAATGTGTTTATATATTAATCTCTTTATTCTTTGCCCCTTCCATTCTTGTTTCAAATAATTATACTCTGCTTTAAAAAAATTCACGCACACAAGAGATGCTTGACTCAATCTCAATTAACAAACCAATAAACAGAAAATATTGTTTGTGTTAGTTCTTCATCTATTTCTTTAATTGTGAAATATGGCTAGTTCTAAAAAAWTTTAATAGGAAACCGATAAAAGTCAAATMATTCAAGCTCACCCCAAAATCTGACAAATTAAAACTGGAACTTTCACTGSGTGGGACTTCTGATTAAACAGATTAGAGAGATGGGTGAAAAAAACTAACAAAATGAAGTTCAACAGGGACAAATGCAAGATACTTCACTTAGGCAGAAAAAATGAAATGCAAAGATACGRGTGGCTTGAGAGCAGTACATGTGAAAAAGATCTTGGGACAAGTTAAACATGAGCCAACAATGTCATGCAGCGGCAAAAAAAAGTCAACGGGATTTTGGCCTGCATCAATAGGAGTATAGTGTCTAGATCCAGGGAAGTAATGCTACCCCTCTATTCTGCCTTGGTCAGACCACACCTGCAATACTGTCCAATTCTGGGCATCACAATTGAAGGAAGATGTTGACAAGCTGGAATGTGTCCAGTGGAGGGTGACTAAAATGATCAAGGGTCTGGAAAACAAGCCCTATGAGGAGTGGCTTAAAGAGCTGGGCATGTTTAGCCTTCAGGAGAGAAGGCTGAGAGGAGACATGTTACCCATGTATAAATATGTGAGAAGAAGTCACAGGGAGGAGGGAACAAGCTTGTTTTCTGCTGCCCTGGAGACTAGGACGCGGAACAATGGCTTCAAACTACAAGAAAGGAGATTCCATCCAAACATTAGGAAGAACTTCCTGACTGTGAGAGCTGTTCAGCAGTGGAACTCTCTGCCTCGAAGTGTGGTGGAGGCTCCTTCTTTGGATGTTTTTAAACAGAGGCTGGGTGGCTATCTGTCGGGGGTGCTTTGAATGCAATTTTCCTGCTTCTTGGCAGGGGGTTAGTTTGGATGGTCTATGAGGTCTCTTCCAACTCTATGATTCTATGATAGCAGCAGTTTTGAACTATAGGATTGGGTGTCAAGTGACCTGAAGCAAACTTCAGAGGTGCCCAAAAATTACTACTAAAGGCTGAGTATCCCTTATCCAAAATGAGTGAGACCAGAAGGTTTGGGATTCCCCCCACCCCCATTTTTGGATATTTGCATATACTTCATGAAATCACTTGACATTGGAACCCAAGTCTTATACATAGCATGAATATACCCAATATTTTTAATAATTTTGTACACAAAAGTTTGTGTACACTGAACCATCAGAAAACAAAGGCGTAATTATCTCAATGCAATTTAGGATTTTTGTGTATATGTTTTGGAATTCTACATTAGGGAGGTTAAGCATCCTTAATCCACAGGAAATTGCCATGGCAGTTGAAGTGGAATCATGCTGCTATGTAACATGGGGGAAAAACCTCAACCGTAATATTATTCTGTATGGAACAGCCAGTTATACTCATACTCACTTGTCATAGAACAAAGGCATTTTAGGACTAGCAAAATCCTGCACATCAAAGAAATTTGGACTATCTGGGCAGAGTGTAAAGGCCTGTTGGAAATTAACACAATGACATAATGTGTGACTATTTAATTTAATCTACTGCATTTCCATTCAGAAGATATCACCAGACATCTGAAAGATAAGGCATAACTAGGGACCTCTTCACATGAGGTAAAATTTGGTGGCAGCCATAGGTCATTTCCATTTTCGCCATGGAGCCCACTGGCTCCCATCACACATAGTAAAAGTACTTCCGGAGTGGCTCTGTGGCAAAAGAGGAGAAAAAACCCTGCTGCTGCTGAAAAATTTCCGGCGACGCACAACAGAAATATGGGTTGAGCCAACATGCTGAGGCTTCCTCCCATGTGATCGGGGGGGGGGGGGGGGGGGGGGGGAGCTGGGATGGTGTGAGGCATGGGGAAACAGGTCCCCACAGCCCCTGGGCAGATGCCGTCAGGATCGCTGTGATATGTGGCAATACTCAATGATTCCAGCAGCACATGTGACGAGGTCCTAATAAGGTATGTGGGATTCCAAAGAGGTGTAATGTTGTAAACTGACTGATGTACTTGGGAATATAATCACCAGCCATGATTAATATTTTATATAACTGAGAAAATCATTTGTCATGTGGTGACCATCCTTATTGCACTCATCATGAATAGAGTTTATATTTTTTTTAAAACTGCCTTTCGGTCAATGAAAAGTTTTGCTGTAAGTACAGTACCACCCCTGTATCCACAGAGGCTGCACTTACAGTGGAATCATGGAAACTGGWTTTGCTGCACTGTTTATAAGATTGACAGGACTGTAATTYGTTTTGAGGCCAGAAAGGTTATTACATTAACCATGGAACTTGGCCTCAAACTTCTTTGAGTTTTTCCCCCTTTCCCTTCTAGGAGAAATGTATACCAATGTCCTAGAAGCATAAGAAGGGGGGGGGGGAGAGGGAGAGAGAAAGCGACAGTGGTGGAGGTAATCAATTACTCCTCCCATGTGGTCAAGTAGCCCACATTTTTAGCAGACCCCTAAATCCAAATCCTACAAAGCGCTTCAGCAAGGGAAGGTGTCTATAATGCTCTTCGCATTCTGCAAAACCATTTTCACCCCGTGATCTGGGATACACAGTAGACTCTCATTTAACCAATATCTATGCAGATTGGTAGATGCTGGATAAGTGTAATTTTTGGTTGTTTGAGAGAAACTATTGAAAACAAACACAACTAATACTATACCATGCCAAAAAGTCTATACTGACTTAATATTAATGTTGAAATACAGTAATTAAGACCAATGAAAGCTATTTAGCTTAATGTAACATTTCCACTAAATATTTTATTTTAATTTTTATTTAAAGTACTATTTCTTTGATTCTTATTTTTATTTTTGGATTTATTTTATTTCTGCCGGTTGCTTGTGTTCTGGTTGAGAGTCTATTGTATTAGAATCTGCCACAGTGCATTAAAGGATCTAACTTGAATTTTCCTCTGGCTTTCGTTAATGGGCTGTATACTCTTCAATCCATGCTACAACAGGCATTAGAGGTATGCGTTTTGTGGCTGCCATCGTTTCAAATCAGTGTGGAGTCACATTAAATGATCAATGCTAAATCTTATACTGTTTCTATATCACAGTGTCCCCCAAATTATTTGTATTTTTCACTAATTTGGTTCAAAATGCTGCAGAGTCCCCTGAGAGTTTCAAGTTTCATCCTATCCCATTTCATTATCACAGATTAATTATTTTCATGGTTACAAGAATAGCTTCAAGCCAGTGTGAATTGAATTGTTTTGTGATTGTAGTATATCACTGCTTTTAATATACTTTATAAATCTATATTTTAAATCTGATTGCTGTTGTTTTGCAATGGTACCCAGAACAATTTTATAAATGATTTATAAAACAGTTAGTTTATAAATAATAAAGCAGTGTCTATCTCTATTAAGTCTCACTGACTACATTTCAACAGAAACGCTATCATATATTCAGTCAAGAAACAACCCTATTAAATTATAACCACCTGAAAAACATGGTTTACCTTTTCTTGATCTTTATTGTGCTCTGAAGAAGACACTCCCCCAATGGATTTCAAAATAGCTCCCCTTAGGATTAAAGTGCAAACATGAGATGGATTTAACCTGAAACTACAGTTCAAATCATGAAGGGCTCTGCTTTTTTCATTTGCTGAACTCCACACAAGAGCTCTGATACAGTACACATCCTAGAAAATGAAAAGCATAACAGTCAGCATAAACTGAAAAGAACACCATTCAATTTATGTCTGGGTAACATAGCAAATACTCTGTGAGAAGAAGCTGTCGGGCTATAATTGAACAACCCCAGATTCAAATCCCCATTCAGCTGTGAAGTTTACCTTGTATTAAGGACTACCTCTTACTCTACTTCCCAGGGTTGTTATAAGAACAAAATGGATGGGAAAGGAAAATCAGGCATACATACTAAATGGTTTTTCCTTATGTGAGATTCTAGAGACTTGTAGTCATGCTTCCCTAGTCTCTTGGTATTTATATTCAAAAGAAAACAGAAAAGAAAAAGGTTTGCTTTTTCTTATCTGAGAGAAATACACAAATCAAGAAGAGATTTTAGGGCGCATCCAGACAGGATCTATAGTGCGCGCCCTCCTGCAATTTCCCCTGGAGAGTCCAGACAACGCCTCAGGGAAAAACCCTGCTTTGTACTGAACTAATTTGTCTGCTGAAAAGACCTGGATCTTTGCAGCTGCAGGCACTGTGTAGTTGGGACCAAGGATTGTGCCATGCAACTTCTGGTGCCCATCTGCACATCTGTCTTGGGTTTCTTGGGCTCCTGGAGCTCAAGAAACCTGAGACAGCCCAAACTCCTCCAACCCCCACCCCCACCCCAGAAAAGCATTTTAAAATAAAATAGCTTGCCTGGCTGCCATTAGACTGCTGCCAGAGTTCTCCTGGCACATTGGAATGATGTGCCAGGAAAAGGGGGGGGGGGGCAGAAGTGATTTTCCTCCTTTTCCCCTATTCCCCTGGCACATCATTCCTATGCACCAGGAGAGCTCCGGCAGCAGTCTAATGGAGGCTGGGTAAGTTATTTTAATTTTTAAAGATTTTTAAAGGGGTTTTTGGAGGGGGTGGGGGTCCTCCCAGAAGGTTCGGGGAGGCCATCTGGACCCCCCCCCCAGGAAAGCATGCATATTCTGGGGGGGGGGGTGGACTGTAACCTGGGAGCAATCGCCTTTAACAAACGCGATTGCTCCTGGGTTAAAGGGCTYTCTGGAATTGCGCACAGTCTTAGTACTTCAAATTAMTCAGGGGAAGATCCAAATATTGTGTAGTTCTGCTACTAAAGTGAAATCATTGGGGAAATTGCAGGGTTATGGACCGAAAGCACAGCTAAACTGATCTGTGCCCATATACATGTCCAATTTTTTTCCTGAAAAGAACAATATATGTAGTTTTTCTTCAAACTACCCACAAACTGGAAATGTCCCCAAACATTTCCAGTTTGTGGATATGCTTCAAAATCTGAGAAACTACTATGAACAGATTACATGGGAAAAGGCTATCCTATAGGTATTATGCTATGCCTCCACCTACACATGAAATGTATATTTGTAAATAAACTCAAATTTTGTAAAAAAACAAAAAAAAAACATTCAAACCACTTGGGTCTCTAGGAATCCATTCTTTAAAGGAAACCAAAGAGAAAACACACAAAATATAGCTATTTCCCATGCTAAAATGACAAGTAAATGCTGTTGACTTGATAAACAGCAAACAATCATCACTCTGGTGTAGCATTCTAAGAAGACTGCAAAGATTGTGAATTGGCTCATTACAATTGTAGCCATGTGTTCATTTGCCTACTTATACACAAATAGTCAGAAAATTCAGATACAAAGTTTCCTCATTAAAACGGAAAACAATCTACATGACTATTAAAGAAAGTGGGCCCAATACTTAGACCCAAACAAATGAAATCAATATTACTCACAGAATTTGAAGGGTCAGAAAACACAGCTCTTGTAGCATCATTAATTGCTTCTTTAATCTTGCCTGGAAAGAATGAAATAAAATATCAGAGAAATACAATAGCCAAGCTGGGATTTGGTGTTACCTTAGACTTAAGAGAAGCCTCAGGATTATGTATTCCATTTTGCCTGCTTTTAAACAAGCCTGTAAAGCAGTCAATGGTTTTTAGATGACTTTTTAAATTTTAATAATTTTTATTGAGTCACGTTAGGTTTTTTGATGACTTGTTTTGCAAAATGTTAAAACAACGAAGGTCTCCTCTGTGTTAGTCAAAAGATCAGTTGGTGTGACAGAGTGTAAGAGCTCAAAGATCTGCTGGTCATAAACTCATGTTTGTCCATTTAACACTAAACTACACTTAAGCACGGCATACGAACAATTAGTTTCTTAGGTGATCAATTACATTTTGTATGGAAATATAAAAATAATTAAAATAATATAGAAATAGGTCCCCAAACATTTTGGCACTCTTCAGTTTAATTACCGAAGACATAACCAACTGATTTAGCCAAGCTCTATAGGCAGTACCACAAATCAGAGGAAACTAAGCATTAGGCTGGGGGACTTCAATAAGCCACGGCTTTCAATGGGGGCAAACGAGATTGGGGTGTAATTGTAGTCCAAAGCACACTGTATAGAATCAGAGTGAAGAAGGAAGAGGTAGGGTAAGCTTGGCAATAAGACACATACAAGGATTTCTAAAAGCTTAATATGACAATGGAATACACACTTATAGTGGGACTAAGTCTCAGTGAGATTTAATTATCAGTTGGCAAGCATCTCAAAGTTCTTCGAGTCTATTTAGGACTGACAGGTGGTAAAGACATTTCTGAACATTTTATGCTATATAGGTATTCCTATACTAAAGTCACTCTAGTTTCCGAGAAAAGTACAAAATGTTGCTTTTGACCTTTAAAGTCCTACATGGTTTGGGTCCAGGTTATCTACAGGATCGCCTTCTCCCGTAAATCTGCCTCAGATACTGAGATCCTCGGGGGGGGGGGGGTGTGGCGGGGGGGGGGGTGTGCCGGGGGGGGGGGGCTTGGAGGGCCTTCAGCCCCCCCCCCGAAATTCTCATGGTGGTCCGAGAAGGCCTTACTGGTACATTATTTAAACTGTTATGTTTATTCATATCATGATCTGATCACCATGCTCAATATATCCCATATGCATGGGGGTATTGGGGTAACGATACAAAAGGTTTGCTAGGGTAGACCCTCACTCAGACTCAGCCCCCCCCCCCCCCCCGGAATCAAACTCAGTTCCCCCTGAATCAAAATCCTGGCTACAGGCCTGGTGAGGCATCAGCATTCTTTGGCAGAGAAGGCTCAATACCTTGTCAAACGACAGACCCCAGGATTCCATAGCATTGGACCAAGGCAATTAAAGTGGATTCATTCTACAGAATAGATGCACTCCAAGGTTTTCCTTTCTGCTGCTGGAAGCTTTGGTGTTCTAACACAATTATTTATAACGGAGGTATTCTAAGCAGGCAGCAACAGTAATGTACACTTTTTTTTCCAAATTACAAAGTGCATACTTTTTGCTGCTTTGCATTATATTCGGCAGCAAATAGGTTTTTTTTTGCTTCAGGGTTTTGAAAATTGATGGCACATTGGACTTGAGTAAATATGGGATTATTATTATTATTATTATTATTATTATTATTATTATTCCTCCAATACACATAATCTATTCACTGGGCTCAGTAGAATGGACTCAGCAGACTTTCTTCCAGGCAAATAATAGGATTTCAAACTACAGATCAATTCAAATTTAGCAAAAACTCTGGAATAAAGTTGTGTTCACTATCCTGGACAACAGTCTACCATCTTTTGCAAAAGAAAAGAAAAGTTATCAATGTGTCTATACATGTATCTGTCTCTTTTTCATACTGTCATAGAATCCCAGAGTTGAAAGAGATCACTCCAACCCCGTCATGCAGGAATATCCAATAAAAGCATTCCTGACAGGTAGCCACCCAATCTCTGCTTAAAAACCACCAGAGAAGGAGACATCACCACAGCACAAGGCAGCATATTGCCATCTGAAAGTTTTTCCTAAATGTTAATAAAATAGTTACTTTATTTATTTCAATAAAATGGATTGTAAAGATACATCTGTAAACTGGTTTTGTTATATATCTCTGTTTTACGCATAGCAGAGCAAAATCTTTTCAGTTCTGCCAGTTTGCCTGAGCTCATTTGGGTTTTTGATGCAAATGAAAAAAATGCACTCAAGATTTCCACCTTGTACTGTTGTTGTTCAACTAAACTATCAATTATATGCCTAAATGGGCACATAATTGATTTCCATGCATTATAATCTATTCAACAGGTGGTAGTGAATAGCAGAATAGCAGGGATTGTGTTTCTAAACAAATATGAACATAAACAGGCAAGAGTGTTTCCTCCTCTACAATTAGGTAAGAAGCTGAACACTATTCATGACTGTATTTCAGAAAGTAAAACACATATACACCAGGTCTGAGTAGACACCAGACTTGATGTATCTACTATTTGTTTGAACTCATGAGATGTCACCTGCTATAAGGCAAAACAGTAGTATGGGGAAGAGAGTTCATTCTTGCTCTTTTTCAGCAACTGAATTTTAATGAGAAAGACCCCTACTTTTTTGGCATAATTAATTAATTTGCAAGGCAAATGCTCTCATGGGTCTACTACCAATTGCTCAAAAGATCTATCTATCCAATTACACAATACAGGCAGCCACCTTGCCATATTCTGCTTTCTTTAAATATGAACAAGTTCTGGGTTTTTATTCATTTTGTTTATGTGGGTGTTTAAAAACACCTAAAATAATAATCCTAAGCTATAAAGGTTAATTCCGGTTTGCTCACACCAGAAAAATTCATAGCAAGATACACTTTCTACCAGCCTTGGAAAGAAAACCTATTCCTTCTGTTATCAGATCATATAGAGCACATGAAACTATATTCTTCAGTCACAAAAACACTGCTGCAAACTATTCCAGTGACTAAAATAATAGCAGGGAAAACTTGTGAACCAAAAAATGAAATTCAGTAGAAAAGGAGCTAAGAATACCAGTATGCCGATGTTAGGCACATATGAAGTTATTCTTCAGTTCTTCGTTGATTTGGTCTAGCAATGGCTTCTGTGACTAGTAGCCATTCTCCAGGAAAAGATCTCTCCAGGACCTACGATCTGGCCCACCTTTTAATATGGAGATGCTGGGAATATGGCCTTGCATGGTCTGGGGCCGATGTATCTGAGGGACTGCCCCACCCCCTACCAACCCCAGAGATCCCTCCGTTCTCAGGACCAAGATCTATTGGAAGTCCCCAGTGTCAAGACCTTGCGTCTAACAGCAACCAGACGCAGAGCCTTCACAGCAGTGGCACCATCACTCTGGAATACTCTGCCACCTGAAGTCCGTGCCTTGCGGGACTTACCAGCTTTCCGCAGGGCATGTAAGACATACCTGTTTCGACAGGCTTTTAATGTTTGATAGTGTGGTTTAAATTGTTTTAAATTGCTTTTAAATTTTGTTAGATTTTAGCTATTCTTGTAAGCCGCTCCAAGCCCCAGGGGAGTGGCGGCATATAAGTTTAAATAATAAATAAATAAATAAAAATATTCTACATGCACAATAAGTGCTATGATGCCTCTCCCATAAGGTTTACTCTCTATCAGACTGATGTTTATAGCCCAATGTAAATATTCCAAATCATTCCAAATTACATTAGAGAGGAATCTGGCTTTATAGCTTTCGACTAGCCCCACCTGCTCTGCATTGATCCAAAAGTATACAGTAGGATATATGAATAGCGTTCTGCAAAGGACACAGAACATGTAGTATGGACTCTGTAGATGTCCACTCACAATCCCTATTCCATACTCAGATTTTCATCAAATGGAGTAAAATATGTGCATAGGACATTTAATGTTGGAGCAAAACCCAGGAGAGTCATTTTCCTGCTCTATTATAATACCAAAACTGAAATAATACATTTTTCTTTCCCACATCACCACATTTACAGAGTTTAGTGACAAAATCATTCTAGCTTACCACATTTCACATACGCGTAAGCTCTCCTTGCATACACAGGTGTCTGATAGAAAGCGCTCGTAACACATCCAACTTTACAAGATGTCTGTGAAGAAGAGGATGCAATTCTCAGCTGCAATATTGTTAAATTTTGCACAGTTTTACTGTATATTCTACAGTTACGCCACATAAACACTGTCATTCTGACTATAAAGGATTCTTGAGCCACTCACATTACCTCGGTTGCTCTTTTTATTTATTTCAAATTACTGGTCTTATTTACCTCAGCAGGGTTCTATAAGATTACTCCCTAGGCTGTTCAGACTCCTACGGGGATGATTTATGTCATCATTCCAGCATAGTGTTTCCCATAATTGTACCAAGTTTAAAAAACATTAGAACCCAAGGGGCTAGACAAGAAACTATAACATTAGCAGCATGCTCATACAAATCAATTTACTCCCTTGCAAAGAGGGAGAAAAGAAAGGAAGAGGAATTTAATGAGATTGTACAGGAACTACAAAGGCACCACAATATTCATCAGAACTTGTGGGTAATCATAAGTATAAATAGATCACAGACATAAATTCTGAAAGCAAAAGAATATACACAGTAATTTTTTCAGGACCTAATTTGAACAAAGAGGAAGCAATCTTAGCACATTGAAGATTAGAAGGTATTTTTCAATCTCATCATAAATTTTATGACTACTTCTGCAAAATTCTTTCTTAATGTTCCTTAACATAGTTATGTGAGCTTACAAAGGCCACTTTAAAAACACAACAAAAACTTTTTTTTTCATTTCAGGAGCGACTTGAGAAAGTGCAAGTCGCTTCTGGTGTGAGAGAATTGGCTGTCTGCAAGGATGTTGCCCAGAGGACACCCGGATGTTTTACCATTCTTGTGGGAGGGTTCTCTCATGTCCCCGCATGGGAAACTGGAGCTGACAGAAGGAGGTCAACCTGCTGTCCCTGGATTCGAACAGCTGACCTGCACACACAAGAGTTTAACCCATTGTGCCACTGGGGGTTTCTATATAACAAAATAATTTAATAGGTTAGTTGAAATAAAAATATTGCCCAACTATGGATTTTGAAACATGACAGTCGCTTCCTGTTCTTTCAGTGCCATTTGCGTTGCCATCAGATTTTTGGAGGTTACCAAGAAGCTCCAATGTTTTTAAATGACCAGATTCTCAGGTTCAATAGAAGTTACACATACATAGCAACACATTCAGCTCTCCTTGAGTAAACCTAATGAACATTTAGAAGAATCAGGCATAAGCACTTTGAAGTTCAGCTGGTTTCAACAGAAAAAAATGACATACACACTTAAATTCCTCTCATTAAACTCAATTAGGTATCTTCCTCCCTTCTACTTGCCCTTTTAGTGTCAGAGAAAAGTTTCTTTTTCAACGGATTTTTAAGAACTGATTATAAGATTTTTCTAATGGTGTGCCTCTTTGGCTAATAGCTTTATTCATCTTTGAATTGAATTGCATCAAAATGCAATGCTATGGATTATTTAATTGCATTTCAAAATTAACACTAAATATAAACGTAGCGCCCAAACATGAATCAAAGAACATGAAAGGCACTGAAGACCAGAAAAGTCAGCCATCGCAAAGCACCTAATGAACCAACCTGGACACAGCATACTATTTGAGAACACAGGAATGCTGGACCACTCTAACAACTACCATGTCAGACTACACAGAGAAGACACTGAAATCCACAACCAGTATTAAAACCAGTATTAAAAAACTCTAAAAACAGGACAGTAAATAAAGAACAACATTCTGAAAACAGAGGAATTCCAGACAAGAAACAATTGGGGCCAGCTAATCATCTCCCAACAAAAGATTCCCCCAGGCAGGAAGCAGCAAGGCTATTCAATGCTAATCAAATTGATTAATTGCAACATCCACACCTGCCAAAAACAGACAGGAGTTCTTTCCCCTACCCTGGGCATTCCACAGATATATAAACATCACTTGCCTAGTGTCCAACAGACCTCATAACCTCTGAGGATGCCCACCATAGATGCGGGTGTAATGTCAGGAGAGAATGCTTCTGGAACATGGCCATACAGCCCGGAAAACCCACAGCAACCCAACACTGAATATGCTTTTATCTCTGTATTGCTTTGTCCTTTTGTTGCTTTGTCCCTGTATTTGTTTTAACTTATATAAGTTGCTTTGGATCCTAGTATTGGGAAAGGGGCAGAATATACATGAATTAAGAGAAAGAACGACCACAGAAACTTTGGTTGAGTTATGGCTCTGCTAAGCTGATGCTAAATAGCTGAAAATAAAGATGTTATAAAATACTGTTCAAGCTTATTATCCAAATTATGTACTCAAGTGTATTGCTTAAAACACTCTACATCCAGCAGTCCCTTCTGTTTACTTGAGAAGGCGCACCAACAAAAAACTGTTACCTTATTACCCTGAACTAGAACTAGAGGAACTACCCTAAACTAGAGGAAGACATCTTTTCAGAATATAAAACTCCCAGAATTTTTGGCTGGGTGATAGTGTCCAAAAAGTAACTTCCAGGCTAAGTCTCCCCATTGTCCACAGATGGGAAACATACTTATCTTAAGACCTATTTTTTCACCAAGCCTGATGCCACTGTTTAAAATGTGGTCATTATTTTAAAGGGAGGGAATTCTGACTGGATTGACTATCTTCGCCCCTTTCCACAGCACAACTGTTTTAATAATTATATTATAATGCATAGGGCAAGATGGATGGATGGGATCCTTGAAGTGACTGGATTGACCTTGAAGGAGCTGGGGGTGGTGATGGCCAACAGGGAGCTCTGGGGTGGGCTGGTCCATGAGGTCACGAAGAGTTGGAAACGACTGAACGAATGAACAACAACAATGCATAATGCACTGCACAAATCGAAGGTACTTGTGGGAACTGTCAGGAATACAATGCACTAACCTTTTGAAACAAAGGTTTATTAAGGGCTGTTGCTAAACACAGCTGCTTCCAGATGAGGTTTTTATTGTTCAATTAATCTGCTTCATTCAGGCAATTTTATGGGGGATTTCCAGACAACATTGTCTTCTTTTTATAAGCCCCTTATGTTTTTCAACCACATTTTGCTTTTTTTTTCCTTACCAAGGGAAGCTTTGATAAGAGAAAGAGGGGATATCCACACAGCGCCTTCTGACTGGCAGTGTCAGAAGCCCTCCATCTAAAGTACCCTTAGAGCCGGCCTGTGTCAAAATAAGATGGATGTTCTCAATGTGAGGTTTTGTTAAATGCCATGTTAATCGTACCCAACCACCTCAAACATCAGGTGGTAAATACAGTGTTTAAAAATAGATAGAAACAGAACTGCAGATCTAACAGCACATCTCTTTGATTGATTAGTTCTGTCATGAATACAAGATGTCTGTTTTCCTTTTTTGAAAAAGCTCTGTGCACAATGACTATACAAGCATTAAAGACATTCCATACTTTGGGGATGTTCATTGCTTCTATGGCATATGTAAACTCTTCTGCAGCCTCACGATGGTAATTTGCTTTTTGGAAAGCTACTCCTATATGATAATAGGATTCAAACACCTGAAATAAAAGAACAAGAACATCACATTATTTCTAATGCTTTAGTAGTGATATGTTTACAAAGACGCCTAAACCGTTCATTCCACGTTTGTTTTTTAAATAATTGTGCAAACTCCAGATATTCAAAATCAAGTTTATACCAATCTAGCACAATCACTGAAGCATGAGGCTAGGGTACAAAGTAACAATAATGATTATTCTCCATTTTCAAAGCATTGGATTGTTGGGCTTATTTACAAAAGATTCTCCTCATAAATGTACAACAGAGTAATTTATTAACAGCAGCGTGACCCAGCACTAGTAGCCAAGAATGATAAAAAGAAGAAAACACACACAAACCAATGTTTTATCTTCCTTAGGAGACTTTTCTTTATAGCAAAATAATATGGTTGCACGATTTACAAGATCCAGGTTTCCATAACACAAATAAAGTTCTTTATATTTCCTTCTTTGCTTCCACGCTGGGCTTCTTTCTCATGCAGATAAACAGCTTTGTTCTCACTGAGCTTCCTCTCACACCGAACTTACATGGGAGCTTCACACAGCAGCCTTCACACTTGAGCGTTACACACTAGGCCTTCAACCTGGGGCTTCTCTCACCGAAACCTTCTCACACCAGGCCTCTAACACACTGAGGCCTATTAACACTGAGGTTTACCTTACACTGAGGCCTCTCTCAGATTGAGGCCTTCCTTCCACTGAGGCCTCTCTAACACTGGAGCCTTCTCATACTGAGGCCTTCACACTGAGACCTCTCTCAGACTGAGGGCAACTAACACTGAGGCATACTAAGTTACAGGAACACCTTAACTGAAGCTTTTTCTGAGTCATTGCATCTTTTTAACCCTTTCAGTGCTTGACTTACATTTCTATAATTAAAAATACCTAGTTAATTTTTAATATTTCTGACATGGATAACAAGCAAGTGTGATATGTTCAATGCAAGGAAACAATTCACTTGTCCCAGTGCTCCTGGTGCTGTCCTGCAATATACCAGCATTTGCAAAGTTAATCCATTTTAATCAGCTCAACGAACTCCATTCCACCGTAAGTGCTGGTAAACCACAGACTTCAGGGAAACATAATGCTCTTCTTCTGGAGACAGGATTCAAATTCCCACTCAGCCATGAAAAATCACTGGGTAATCCTGGTCAAATAAGGTCCTTTCTACACTGCCACATAAAATCCATATTATCTGCTTTGAACTGTATTATATGGCAATGTAGACTAATATGATCCAGTTCAAATCAGACAATGTGGACTATCTGCTTTGATAATTTGGATTATATGGTAATGTAGAAGAGGCATTGAAGGCAAACCCTCGTGTCTTATAGCAAAGAAGAGAATCTGTGACTCCAGGAACTGCAGGACTTAAATCTGAAGCAACTAGCCAGAATTTGGAGCTTTGCAACATCTGGGGGGCCACCACTTCCCTATCAATGTTTTCTGTTTAACTATCAAGTGTAAATATAATACATTGAAATACAGAAGCATCTGAAATACTACACTGAAATTACCAGCTGAATGTATCCAGATCCAGGCATGTATTCAGGAGGAAACCTCTTTTTGTTCAAAGAACTCAGTAGCTTTCTGTAATACTCGATCGCCTACAAATAAAATAAAAGCAGCATTATGACTTAGAGAAAGGGTGAATGCACCCAAAATTATGTACAGTAGAGAACTTTTAATGATTCTGTTCATTTTTCATAGGTTTGATGTTGAGTCCTATTTTTTATGATTGAATGTAAATTATATATTGTATTTAAAAACAATACAATAACAATAAACAATAAAAAAATTAAAAACAATAACGGGGAATAACCCTTTGTGAAAACAGCTCCACTAGCTGTCAATAAGTTTCCAATCCCAATTCAAGGTGCAAGATATTACCTACAAAGCCCTAGACGGTTCAGGTTCGGCCCATCTTCATGATCGCATCTTCCCCTATGAACCTGCGCAAGCTCTGAGATCTGCTGGGAAGGCCATTCTCTCACTCCCATCTCCATCGCTAGTGTGGTTAGTGGGGATGAGGGAGAGGGCCCTCTCGGTGGTGGCCCCTGGTTCTGACACTCTCTCTTCAGGGAGATTAAATTAGCGCCCACCCTGTCCACTTTCCGCAAAGATCTGAAAACATGGATTTCCCATTGTGTCTTTGATTAATCGGTTCACTAGATGAATTAACTTTATTTTCTGCTCTTGCACTTTCCTATTCTCCCTCCCCCTGTAGTTGTAGAACACTAATTCGACTTGGCCCTTCTAGCCCAACTTATTATCTGGCTCTTCCAGTTCTCTATCACCCCTGTCCTTGCAGTTGTATTGCACAAGCCCTTACCTTGCCCCTTAGTTCTGAAATGTCCACTATGCTCGGTTACTGATTGCTGTATGATGAAATGTTTTTAGGTAAAGGTAAAGGTTTTCCCCTGACATTAAGTCTAGCCATGTCGACTTTGGGGGTTGGTACTCATCTCCATTTCTAATCTGAAGAGCCAGCATTGTCCATAGATGCCTCCAAGGTAATGTGGCTGGCATGACTGCATGGAGTGCCGTTACCTTCCCACCTGAGCTATACCTATTGATCTACTCACATGTAAGCTGCTCCGAGTCCCCGTTGGGGGAGATGGTAGCGGGGTATAAATAAAGTTTATTATTATTATTATTTTCATGTTTTCGAACTGCTACGTTGGCAGAAGCTGGGGCTAACAGCAGGAGCTCACACCACTCCCCGCATTCAAACCTGCAGCCTTTCAGTCAGCAAGTTCAGCAGCTCAGCGGTTTAACCCACTGCACCCCTTGGGGCTCCTATTATGTTTTTATGATGTTCATATGACGTTGTATATGCATTTCTATTGTGTATATTTTGACTGTTTGACTGGGCTTGGTCCCCATGTATGTCGCCCCGAGTCCCTTCAAGGAGGTGGTGGTGGGATACAAAAATAAAGTTCTTATGATGATGATGATGATTCTTTGGGAAATTTTTGGGTCTCTTTTTTGAGAGACAAAGCGGGATAGAAATAATAATAGCAACTTTCCATTAGGGAAAAGTAAAGCAAGGCTTCCTCCTGCCCTGCACACTTTTGTTTGTGAAGATGGAGGTCAAAGGCCAATATAAAACATAAAATGCAGAAATATTAAGCAAAAATTGCATGGATTCCTAGTTCTGTCATGTTCTGCCACGGTATTCTGTCAATGGATGGACACAATGGACTGGAATTGCAAAATGGAATGCAGGAAAAATTCCAGCTGCCAGAAGTTTTAGGGAGGATTCAAAGCAGCACTGAAAAATACCGTATAGCAGGAAACAATTTCCAAATGGGTTTTGTACTGCGGCAAAAACAAAAGGACTCCCAAAAAATGAACTCCCTATTTGGCCATGGAAGCCTACTGAATAAGTCACATTCTCTCAGTCCCGGGGTGCATGAAAAACTCTTCCTCAGGGTGCATCTACACAGCAGGATTAAAGCAGTTTGAGACAACTTTAACCGCTATGGCTCATGGGAGTTGTAATTTTACGCGGTCTCACAAAAGAGTGCTGGTGCCTCACCTGGTGGTGCAGTGGGTTTAGAGGGGACGTGGTTTTAAAAAGGGAATTTTCAGAGATGTCCCCAATGCCTATATGTCATGATTTTTGCTTTTTTGGGGGGAAATATTTTGGTTTCTTTGCCCCTACAGGTTAAACCCTTGTGCTGGCAGGACTGAAGACCAACAGGTCAGAGGTTAGAATCCGAGGAGAGTGCAGATGAGTTCCCTTTGCCAGCTCCAGCTCCCCATACTGGGACATAGGGAACTGGATAATAAAACATCAAAACATCCGGGCGTCCCTTGGGCAACACCCTTGCCGACAGGGATGTGGTGTGAGTCGTTTCTATCACACCAGAAGTGACTTGAAGTTTCTCAAGTCACTCCTGACATGAAAAACAAAACCAAATTCTCATGATTACAACATTGAGCCAGGGCAGTTAAAGCGGTGTCAAACTGCATTACTTCTACAATGCAGACGTACTCTCAATCACATATCACAAAGTAAGTTTTGGGGGGAAACTATGTGATGGAGCATGTATGTGTGGAGAAGGGCCAAATTCCTATAAAACCAGTATACTTTTCTTTCAAAAGTTGTTCAGTATGACCCTCACATTTGCAGGCCTGTGACTACTAGGAACACAATAAATGAAGCTAAATTTTCTCAAGTGATGCCTAAAGAAAATGTCGGGCTTGTGGGATGGGTTATTACTAATTAAGTATCAGAATGTATTGTCAAAGGCTTTTATGGCCGGAATCACTGGGTTGTTGTAGTTTTTTTCAGGCTATATGGCCATCTTCTAGAGGCATTCTCTCCTGACGTTTTTCCTGCATCTATGGCAAGCATCCTCAGAGGTAGTGAGGTCTGTTGGAACTAGGAAAATGGGTTTATATATCTGTGGAATGACCAGGGTAGAACAAAGAACTCTTGCCTGCTGGAGCTAGGTGTGACTGTTTCAACTGACCACCTTGATTAGCATTTGATGGCCTGGCAGTGCCTGGGGCAATCTTTTGTTGAGTGGTGATTAGATGTCCCTGATTGTTTTCCCTCTGTTGTTTGTATCAGTATGTCGGTGCAAAATCTTCAATTGTACAGTGAGAAGGAACGTTTCCATATTATAGCCTGGAGAGCCTTCAAAGGTCCCCTGACAAACAAAAAGCGCATGCGCAGAGGCCAAGCTCCTATCCAGAGACATTGGCGTATTATGGCTTGTGAAGAGCCTTCCAAGGTCCCCTGACAAACAAAAAGCGCATGCGCAGTTGGCAGACTCCTGTCCAGAGTGGTTCCTTATTATGGCCTAAATAGCTTTCGAAGGTCCCTTGGTCCCCTGACAAAAGCGCATGCGCAGTTGGGAGACTCCTCTCTTCTGTATTATGGCCTGAAGAGCCTTCCAAGGTCCCCTGACAAACCAAGGCGCATGCGCAGTTGGCGGGCTGTGGTCCTCGCGCGCCCTTCAGAGGAGGGTCACCTGGAACCAGCGCCGGGCCCGCTCGCTGGCGATGGCGGAATTGAGGTAGGCCTGCGCCTGCGCCTGGATGGCCGCGATGGCGTTCAGGAAAGACGACGGGATAATGGTTTGGGCTTCGGCCGACGGAGGGGAGAAGACGATGGACCGCGAGGAGGCGGGGCCTGGATCCGGGCCTGGCCCTCGAGGGCGGCTAGGGATGTTACCGCGCGCCCCCGCCATGCGCGCGCCCGCCGCCCTTCCCGTCGAGGCCCCGAAAGCGGAGGGCGGAGCGCGCCGCGGTTGCCACGGCAACGGCACAGCGGCAAGGCAGCCCAGGCCTAGGCCTACGCAGTTCCAACCTAGACGTGCCTCTCCCTTTTATTCATTTTGCCTCCTTTTTTACATCACTTTCGTTGCCATGGCTCAAGACTATGGGATTCCTGGATGTCTAGTTTTGGAAGTGTTTAAAAACCTTACAATTCCCTCAATTCCAAACCACAGGGAGCCCTGGCAGTTCAAGTGGTGTCGAACTGTGTCCATTCTACAGTATAGATCAGGCATGGGTAAACTCGGGCCCTCCAGGTGTGTTGGACTTTTAACTCCCACCATTCCTAACAGCCTCAGGCCCCTTCCTTTTCACTTAAGCAACTGAGGGGGGAAAGGAAAGGGCCTGAGGTTGTTAGGAATGATTGAAGTTAAATGTCCAAAACACCTGGAGGGCTCAAATTTGCCCATGCCTGGTATAAATGCACTCTGAATTGCAGTCTTGCAACACAACTTCCAGAATTGCAAGGCATCCCTCAGGGTAAAACCTTTTTTCTTCAGACTTTTCCAACAGAAAGATGTTAAAGAACTTGTTCAAGGGTCCTGCATTCTTTTAACTATCCGTTTTAAAGATTTTTTTTTTTACCTTTTCTGATTGCATGTTACTCAGGTGTGAATTGTGTTGTCAAAGGCTTTCATGGCCGGAATGACTGGGTTGCTGTGAGTTTTACAGGCTGTATGACCATGTTCCAGAAGCATTCTTTAGAGGATGTTTCGCCCACAGCTAATTCAACCAGAGAAGTCAGCCATAGCAGAGCACTTGATAAAACAACTAGGACACAGCATATTGTGTTGTCGGAGGCTTTCATGGCCAGAATCACTGGGTTGTTGTGGATTTTTTTGGGGTGTATGACCATGTTCTAAAAGTATTCTCTCCTGACATTTCACCTGCATCCCAAGCAGGTATCATCAGAGGTAGTGAAACCTTACTACCTCTGAGGATGCCTACCATGGATGCAGGCAAAATGCTAGGAGATAATATTTATAGAACATGGCCACACAGCCTGAAAAACCTACAACAACACACAGCATATTATTTGAGAACACAGAAATGCTGGACCACTCTAACCGCCATTTCAGACTACACAGAGAAGCCATTGAAATCCACAAGCATGTGGTCAGTTTCAACAGAAAGGAGGAAACAAAATCTGGCTACCAGTATTAAAAAAAACCTCTAAAATCAGGATAGTAAATAACAACACTCAGAAAACAAGGAATTCCAGACATGAAACAATCAGGGCCAGCTAACACCTCCCAACAAAGGATTCCCCAGGCAGGAAGCAATCGGGCTTTGGAACTGCAAAGTGATTCGATGCTAATTAAGGTGGCCAATTGCAACATTCACACTTGCCTCAAACAGAGAAGAGTTTTTTTTCAACCTTGGACATTCTACAGATATATAAACCCCACTTGCCCAGTTTCCAGCAGACCTCCCAATCTCTGAGGATGCCTGCCATAGATGTGGGCAGAATGTCAGGAGAGAATGTTTACATAGGCATACAGCTCCGAAAATTCACAGCAACCGACAGATGTGAATTGTTTTAATGCTGTAAGTGATTTTACTCCTTTTGAAAAGTTTACTTTTTGGTTTTTAATTGCATTATATTAAATTACAAGCCATGTTGAATCGCAATTTTGGGAGATATACATAATTACAGACGTATATGATCAGACTGCCCATCTGCTGATAACATGAATAAGGGAGTTGTGCCTCAAGAGGCATGATGGTATTAATTCCAAATGCATCCCTATGTAAATGCCAAAGGAATTGGCATTTATAATATGAATTACCCCCTAATTTCTTTTCTCAGAAACCTTTTAAGTCACACTTTTGGCCCTTTTTTGGTCAGAAACAGAATTAGGAATAATTTGCTGTGATGGTGCAGCTCTTTATTCAATATGCTCTTCATAATGAACAGACAACTATCCCCCTAACATATACCGGCAAACAATTTCTATAATACAGTAATGGCAGATTTCCACCACCTAGTGGATACATTCTAGCTAAACCTGTTACAGGCAGTCCCCAAGTTACAAACAAGATAGGTTCTGTAGGTTTGTTCTTATTGAATTTAAGTCGGAAAAGATACATTTCTTAAGTGTAACTCCGAAATATATGTTTCCTAGCTGTGGATAGCATAGGGAAGGATTAACACCCCTGTGATGTTTGTTTTGCTGTCTGTGCCCCTGTTCACTTTCTGCCCCTGTGATCATTGGATTTTGAAAAAAAAAAGGCTTCTTGTAGGAACAGGGAATGGTGAGATAGCTTCAGTGGAGACACCTTTTCTCCATGACAACTCTTTCAGAAATTAATTTCCCTTGTGAGGGGTAGATTTCTCTCACTTCCTGTTGTCTCACCCCTGTTCTTAACTATAAGTCATTTGCATATAATTCAGGGACTGCCTGTACTTGGTTAGTATTGCAGAGAGAGAGAGAGAGAGCTCTCCGATGAAAATAAAATGTCCAGATGCCAATACTTAGGTGTAAAATTCAAGTTATTATCTGCAAGTATACAAGAGTAAACATATTGTGGCTTTCGGTTATATATTTTCCCCTGATTATTGTTTGTCTTTTTCATAGATTTATATATGATTCTTCCTATTATTCTCCAATATAGCTAAAAGTACTAAAACATTACAAAATTCTGGAAAAAGAACAAAATATGATACAAGAAAAAGCAAAACAGTATCAAATTTTAAGAAATACAAATTGTTGTTTCTCTATTGTCCATGTGTAATGCAAGTTATATTTATTTTAAAAACAAATAAAATATATGAACTACCCTTTACCCACAAATGATCTCATTGTGATATATTGTTGCTTTTGTTGCTTCTGTTATTGTTGTTATGTGCGTTCAAGTAATTTCTCACTTGTGACTCACCTAAGGCAACACTATGATGAGACTGACATGCCCAGGTCACCCAATGACCATGGCTGAGCTGGCCTTAGGAACCTGGTCTCCAGATTCAAATGCTCATTTCTCCATATTGTCTCTGTGATTTATGTACAGTGTCATTCTAAAAAAAGACCCTTTTCTAGGTGTTCACTAAGAAATTTCCAAAGCAGTCTTAACCATGTTGTTGTAGCAAGTGCTTATTTTACATTGATAGGGAGCAGTACACCCATTCCATGTTACACATTCTTTTTAAATGGTCATTATAGTCAACTCTCCACGTTCAGCAAATTTGGGGGCACAGGATTCCTACAAAAGTGGGAAAACTGAATTAAAAAATACTGCTCTATGAATCTCTAGGTTCTTTAGTGAAATGCTTTGGCATAGTCTTCATAGAGTCACACTGGAGGGCCTAGAGATTCCTAGAGAGCACATGTTAATCAAATCTGCAAAAGCGAGATCCACAAATGTGGAGGTTCATAATGCCATGTAACACTGACAAGTTCCAAATGGAAAAGAGATTTTTTAAAAAATATATCATACAGAAGTAAGTCTGTAGAGTCACTCTTTGGATCCTAACCAACACTAAGATTCATAAATGATGCACCACAGATGAAAATACCCTACATGTTTGCCTCACTGATTTGAAATTACTCCATTTACCACCAGGTGTCCTTCTTCCCTTAATAGTACACATTACAGAAAATTTGCCACTGGAAAGGGATTTTGCATCTTACTGTTTTTGCAAAGGGAACCAACAGGAATGTAATAACAGTATTATTCACGGAGCCAAATAAATGAAAGCCAAGAATATTATGCAAAAAAAAAAATTAACCTGTTGAGAAACAAAGACCTAAAATAAGTTTTCCTCCCAAAAATAGAAGAACATGGGGGAAAGCAGTTTATGAAATGATGTATTTTAGAATGTTGCATAAAATGTTTCCAAGTCTAAAACTTAATGTTAATACCAACTAGAACTGGCTCACTGTATCAATTGAATTCACACAACTGTTAACTAGTGTACTACGGTCTAATCTTGTTGGGACTACCATTAGGATAAAAGGCAGAATATTTCTATATTGCTTCTTGAACTTCATTCCTCCAAAATTATTTCTACCTGTACTTAGGACTTTCTGCTGAAAAAGAAATTACATCCTTTATCCATAATTTCAGTATTTGTAATACTCAAGAACTGTCTGTCTGGATGTCAGAGAAGGTAATGATGAGTCAATGTCCACAAACTTATAAAATTGTTTATAAAATTATCATTGTGCTATGTGTATAACTTGTATATGAAACATAAATACATTTTGTATTTAGACTTGGGTCTGATCTAGAAGGTATCTCATTATGTGATTATGCAGATACGGACATTTCATAATCAGGAAAAAAATCCCAAACACTTCTAGTTCTAAGCATTTTGAATAAGGGATATTTAGCCTGTACTTGATTCAAGAATGCAGTTTGAGATTCTGCCAAGCATACCACTCCTACAACATAGTGGTTAGGTGTTTGAGTATATGTTAAATATATATATTTGAGTAAATAATTTTGAGATTGAACAGAGGTTATCATACTTTTCAGTGTTAAATATTAACTTTCTTCAGTTCAAAAATTGCCTGAAAAAAATGTGTGTGTGTTTCCCACTCCTTTAAGTTCAAAAAAGACATCTTAGCACCTTGTAGGTAAACTATTTCTTCAAAGTAGGTAAAATAGATCAGAAGATTAATAGCTGGCAAATAAAAGAAATCATAAGTCTTCATATGTGCCAAAATTCCCTTTCCTTCAATCTGTGAGACTGCATGGTCTTTGGAATTATAAATTAGCAGCAAGGATGTCTGCTGCTTCTGGAATAAGATCATTGCTATTCAGGACTTTGAAGCAGTGCATTGTGAAGTGCATTTCAAACAGAGGACAAATAGGTAAGAAGTTTGCATCAGGGTTCCATAAATCCCTTCCTTTCCGAACTGAAAAGCTGTTTGTATTTTTGTTTTTTTCTCATCTCTTATATGCAAATCTTCTGTTGTAAAGTTCAAACACTGAGAGTGTGGTTAATTTAAACTGAAATCA